TGTGTGTGTGTGTGTGTGTGTGTGAACTGACAAGCAAGGAACTCCTGACTGTTCCTGGGGGTTCGGCTAGGCTCTGTCCTTACTATTGATGTGGTCTTCTCAATGGTCTTCTTTGGTCCGCCTGCTTGCCCGTCTTTCCTTGCCCTTCATCTGTCTCCCTGGTTCTTCATCAGGACCTGATCTTGCCCTTCCACCTCTGCAGCTGGACTCATCTCTACAGCTCTGTTCTCAAGCCCCTGGCACACAGCGGTGTCTGTGTGAGCCTGTTTCCTGAAGCTGGGCCTGGGTTTACGTCTTACCAATAGACCTTATTTACGTCTGAGAGCTCTTGGCTCAGACAAAGAGAGAGGTTTGTTACGTGACACGTGATAAATGAGCTGAGGGTTAATATTGGTAATTAAGATTGGAATAAGTGTTCGCCTCAGCCAAGTTAGCAAGGATAAGTAGGAGTATCTGGCAAATTGTTGCCATCAAAACCTCCATATCTTGTGAATTTATTATTATTCAATAAATTCTTGCACTGTCGAAAGACACAAGAGTGTTCATATATGTTTCTTTTTTTTTTTAAATTTATGATTTATTTATCTTTTTATTTTATGTGCATTGGTGTGAAGGTGTCAGGTCCCCTGGAACTGGATTTTCAGACAGTTGTGAGCTGCCATGTGGGTGCTGGGAATTGAACCCGGGTCCTCTGGAAGAGCAGTCAGTGCTCTTAACCGCTGAGCCATTTCTCCAGCCCCTCATATATGTTTCTGACAGTGCACTGATGACATTAAATTTCCACAAAAGAAAAAGTGTCAACCCCCTGAACCTGTTTCTCAGCTTCTGACAAGTGACCAAGAGGTCCCAACCTCCTTTGTGTACTTAATTCCAACTCATGGGATGGAAGATGTACCTTGCACAGAACCCCAGAAACAACTAGGGCCTCCTTCACCCTTGCTCTAAACCTAAGGTTGGTGGTTCCAAGTTGGTAAACTGAGAAAACCACGTGCCCCTACCCCTACCATAGTGGGGACCCAGCTCCTTGGCATCCAAATGTACTAGCCTAACACACCGAGGTGTTATACATTATAGGAGTGCAGAGAATGGTGGGGAGATGGAAAGGGGGCTGAGACCAGCCGTCCTTCAGAAGGAGCTTCACTGGGAAAAAGAGAGATCTGTGACTAGTGAGGCCATGGTTGGGCCTTAGGGTGGGAGACCTATTAAGGGACATAGGTTCAAGTAGAAGAGAAGATAGGCAAATATACAATGTTATGAGGTAACCTGAAGAAGAAAACAAGAGAGTAGACACACACACACACACACACACACACACAGAGAGAGAGAGAGAGAGAGAGAGAGAGAGCCAGCTAGTCAGAGTACGTGCTGAGACATCCCCCGAGCAGTACCGATGGGATGGCTTACCAGGTAAACGCGGTCATCATGGGGTCTTCACGTTCGACAACCTGCATTTGATCTCCAGGGTCCACGCGGTAGAAGGAGAGATCCAACTTCTGCAAGCTGTCCTCTGACTTTGACACACATACTATGGCATGTGTGCCCCTTCAGAAATAGATACATAGCTGTCCTTAAAAAGAAAAGACACCCCCCCCCCCCACCCACACAGTGGGGGTTTTCTGCCGGCTCTAAATTTTCAGGGTATGATGGAAAGTTCCACACCAAGTGAATTTGGATGCCAAGGAGCCAGGTCCTACTAGATAGGACCATGAGTTTATCGTGTAGCTATAAGAGGAAGGAGTTCGGCTTCTTTCCCCTGATCCCTACCTGTGTGCTTTCTTTCACAGTAGGGGCCTGTGGGCTTTACAGAGCGAAGGCTGACCTCTGGGAGAGAGGCAGTTGGAGGGTGTGTAACCTAACACAAAGCCTACGGGGGTCTTCAGTTTATAGATCCTCAGGCTGCTCCCCCTTGTCTCCTCCCCCTCCCTAAAATCAGGCTGTGTTTCTCCTGCCATCTGTCAAAGAGCTGACAGGTCCCTGCTGTGTGGGAAAATCAAACCCAGCCTCCCTCCCCACTGCCCAGTAAGGAGACTAAATTACAACTTGATCAGTCATAGTCTGATTCCAGGCACATGGTCCAGGACAGGCTAACCCACCCGGAGCAGAGCTTGGGGTTATCCTCTTGACCCTTAGAAAAGACAGCCTCTGGCTTTCTTTAGTTTTGCTTGTTTCGGAAGGAAGTTCAAAGGCTCCCCTTCAGGCCCTCTTGTGGCCACTCTCTCTTAATGCAGCTCGTGGGTTTTGAAGAGTCTCCGTTCAAGGTCCCATCACGCTGCCTCTTGTGTATCTCTTCTAATTCCTCTCTCATTATAAGTCTGATTCATGTCCCCAGAGTCCCACCACCACAAGACTTTCTTCTAATAAAGCTTGCGTCAACTTTCTTTTGGTGTCTGCCATTCTTCCTTCATTTGTAACAAGACTGTTGTGGAATGTATTTTTAAGACGTGTTACAGTCTTTTATGTTGCATTTGTTTAACTCTGTGAAGCTGGATTAATTTGCCTACCTAAAACACCTGATTGGTCTAATGAAGAGCTGAATGGCCAATAGCAAGGCAAGAGAGGGATAGGCAGGACTGGCAGGCAGAGAGAATAAATAGAAGAATGAGAAGAGAGAAAGGAGCAAGAGAAGAAGAGAAGGAGAGGAGGATGCCAGGGCCCAGACACCCAGCAACACAGTCAGCCACAGGGTTAGAAGGAAAGAGATAAAAAAGGTAAAAAGTCCAGAAGCAAAAGGTAGACTGGGTAATTCTAAGAAAAGCTGGCTAGACATAAGCCAAGCTAAGGCCAGGGATTCATAAGTAAGAATAAGTCTCGGTGTATTTATTTGGGATCTGGGTGGGGGGCCCCCAAAGAGCAAAGAGTAAAAGTGAAAACCAACTACACAAGAGTGTCACATGGAAAGAAGTGGGCCACTGTCCTCGCATCCGCTCCAAGGGCAGGCTTGGGGGTCGTTCCTGAGAGAAGTCGCTCAAGAAAAGCCACTCCTAATTTCTTCCCATAGCAACCGGCCTCTTTTGCAATGGTATGGAGAGAAGCGAAAGCTTTAAAGGACTTCCAAAGACAAGAAACTCCTGGGGATGCTGGGGGGGAGGTGTCACAGGAGCCCAGGAAGAAGGCTGCCCAAATTCTGCCATAGGAAGAAGACTTGTGGGCAAATTCAAGGCCAATTTTCTGAAAATCCCCTTGGGCACTCAATACTACAGCTGGATGAGGGGGTAGGAGTGGGATTGGGTTGAGGGGAGACTAGATGTCACTAGGGAAGTACAATTTATACATTAGAAAAAAGAAAGATAACAGAAACTGCCGGATGTGACCTTTGGCAGGTGGATTCCTAGAATCCATTGTAAGTATGTTTCAAAAGTGACCTTTGGCAGGTGGATTCCTAGAATCCATTGTAAGTATGTTTCAAAAGTAAGAATATTGATAGTGAGTTCCAGTCTGACCTACGCTACATAGAAAGACCTTGTCAAGGGGCGGGCGGGGGAAGAGTAAGGGAACACGAAATGTGTTTCTAGGGAAGGGGGTAAAACTCAGGTGATGTGAAGGGGGAAAGAGAATAGTAGAAGAGGAGGGGTTAAATGAGGTGGGGGGAATAGAAGAAGGAATTTGGTGAGTGATAACATAAAAAATCTTTTTAAATGCTACATGGAACCTGTGCGGGCTAGTCTTATATCAGCTTGACACAGGCTAGAGTTATCTGAAAGGCGGGAACCTCAGCTGAGAAAACACTTCCATAAGATCTTGCTATAAGGCATTTTCTTAAGTGTGATTGATGGGAGAGGGACCAGCCCATTGAGGATGGTTCCATTCCTGGGCTGATGGTCCTGAGTCCAGTAAGAGAGCAGGATAAGCAAGTCAGGAAGAGAAAGCTTGTAAGCATCACTCCTCCATGGCCTCTGCATTGGCTCCTGTCTCTGGCTTCCTGCCCTGTTTGAGTTTCTGGCTTCCTTCGGCGATGAACTATGATGTGGAAGTGTAAACCAAATAAACCCTTTCCTCTCCAACTTGCTTTTGATCATAGTGTTTCTTCTCAGCAATAGAAATCCTAAGACAGAAGCCTACTGTAGAAGCTTCCTAATATAGATAAGTACATATAGAAAAGGAATTTTAATGGGGGTACTCTATAATGGGGACAATGTCTTTGTCAGACACCACAGGATATCGAATAACAAGCCCAGTTCCAAGTATGGGTGACCTCTTTGCAAGCTGTTGTTCAGCAAGGTCCCATAGACATCTCCCCCTAATACTACAAGCTGTTGCCTTTGTTCTCAGTTCCCCTTGATGAACGTGATGGTAAAACCTCAGTGCTGGAGACATCATGTGAATCACGGGACTTGGAGAAACTGAGCTGGGACGGAATGCTCCATCACAGTTGGCTAACATTCTGAGTCCTAGGAGGGGCTTAAAGAAGAAAAGCAAGCAACAGTCTAACCCGGTTAAGAAGCCGTAAGTAGATATGCCTACTGTTGCAACAGTGGAAAGAAGGCTACAGGAGTAACCAACCACTGCCCCCAAGTTCTTACCTTGACAGCCATAGATTAGTGCATACTGCAACCCTCATCAGAGACCCACAATTGGTCAATATGCAGAGCATAAGGTTATGGAGCTCATAATGGGACATCCACATGATTTCTCCTTTCTCTAACACTCAGACCAAAGTAGAAGATGGGGTGGAAAGACTGAAAAAGCCAGAGGATGTCTGTTGCCAAACAGTATTTGCCAGACAAGGCAGCTTAGCTGCACCTATGGACTGGCAGTAGCTGGGACTGTATGCACAAGACAGTAGGGCTGGGCTCATCCATTGCTCCTTATCCACCTGGGAAATCCACCATGAAGCAGTTTCCTTCCTCTCCCACTCCACCTCAGACAGCCTCAGAACTGATGCCCTTTCTAAACCTTCGAAGATATCTATATTATGCTATTGACTTATAATCGTTAAACAGATTAAACTTCTCGTCAAAATGTAATGAACTTAAGCCCCAGAACCGAGCGAGGGCAAGAGATTGAACTACTTTATCATTTTATTCTTTTTAGTAGTAATGGGGTTCGAACCCTGAACCTTTTGTGCACTGGGCAAGCATACGGCTACCCCCATCAGATCAGACGCCTCCTGAAGCCATGGGAGATCACGGTGCTCTGGTATCTGGAGAGAGGCGAGTGCAAAGGCATGTCGGCAATCTTTATCTCCGGAGGGCCTTTCTTCAGGACGACTTTCCGATCTTCCCCATGGCAAAGCCGCTCACTGTAACCCCAGAACAGGGAATCTTCCAAGGGGCCAGTGTAGATCCCACACGCTTCCGCTTGCTAAGAGAGAAGACATTTCTGCTGAACAGTACCAGATGTCGTGCTCATGTTAGGCTTAAAGACTTTTTTCTCTCTCCTCCCCCACTCGGTGACTATATTAGAGCATATTGCTAATGTGGGTGCTGAAAATCAAACGCAGGTCCTCTGGAGGATCAGTCAGCTCACTAGGTAGTTGACTGGCCTGCACCTTGCTATCTAGACCAGCCTGGCCTTGAACTTACAGAGATTCTCCTGCCTCTGTCTCCCAAGTGCTGGAATTAAATGTATGTGTGTCACCATGTCTGGCTTTTTTCTGGCTTTTTTGTTTGTTTGTTTGTTTGTTTAAATTTTTTTAAAGACTTACTTATTTGTTTATTATACAATTTTCTGTGTACAGGCCAGAAGAGGGCACCAGATCTCATTACAGATGGTTGTGAGCCACCATGTGGTTGCTGGGAGTTGAACTCAGGATCTCTGGAAGAACAGTCAGTGCTCTTAACTGCTGAGCCATCCCTCCAGCCCTTTCTTTTTAATTTTTAAATTACATTTTTGTAAGTATGTCACCATCTAAGGAAAAATGGAAAGGGAAGAGCAAGCTACAACACAGTAACCATTACTCAGGGTGAGAATGCTGTTTCATTTCATTCTCTATATTTCAGTCATGGTAACTGTTTAAGTCAGAACTCTGCACACCCACATCCACCCACAGACACACAGACACACACACGGAGTCACTGGTAATATTGTTGGGAATACATTAACCTATACTGTAAAAGTGAAGCATCCTTAAAATCACTAAAAAGGTCCAGCCGAAGAAGGCAGCTCAGTGGTACAGTGCGCTCAGCACCACAGGGAAGCCTGACGGGTCAACCCTAACACACAAACAAAACAACAACAACAAAAACAACAACAACAACAACAAAAATAACACAAGGAGGAAGGGCTAATGAGATGGCTCAGGTGGTAAAGGCTCCTGCTGTCAAGTCTAATGACCTGAGTTCAGTCCCTGGGACCCACATGGTGAACCAACCAAGCCACCCCCGCACACACACTTACACATAAATACGTGATAGTTTTAATGTAATTGGCCCCCATTAGCTCATAGGGGGTGACACCATTAGGAGGTGTAGCCTTGTTGGAGGAAGTGTGACCTTGGAGGAAGTGTGTCACTGTGGGGGTGGGCTCTGAGGTCTCCTTTGCTCAAGCTATGCTCAATGTGGTACACAGTTCACTTCCTGTTGCCTGGAGATCAAGATGTAGGACTCTCAGCTCCTTCTCCAGCACCATGTCTGCCTCCATGTTTCCTACCATGATGATAATAGACTGAACCTCTAAAAATGTAAGCCACCCCAATTAAATGTCTTCCTTTATAAGAGTTGCCAAGGTCATGGTGTCTCTTCACAGCAACAGAAAGACAAAATGAAACATACCTTTTATAAAAGCAAGCAAGCTTTCTTTAATACACTCAGTATTTCCAATTTCAGTTCAGTATTTCTAATAGGTGAAAAGAATAGTTAAAAGTAGTGTCTCACCATGCAATGCTATTAATTTTTTTCTAATTTATTTTAATTTATGTGCATTGGTGTTTTGCCTGTATGTCTCTGTGAGAATGTCAGATTCCCTAGAATTGGAATTACAGTTGTGAGCTGCCATGTGGGTGCTGGGAATTAAACCCAGGCCCTCTGGAAGAGCAGCCAGTGCTCTTAACCACACACTCTCTCTCTCCAGTCTCTGCAATGCTATTCATTAAGCCATCAAATTATATAAAATAGATCCCAATATTAAGACTGAAGAAAAGCCAGTCATGGTGGTACATGCCTTTACCTAGCATTTGGGAGGGAGATCAGGTAGATCTGAGTTTGAGCCACTTGTCTATATGCAAGTTCCAAGATAACCAGGAATATACAATAAGACTTTGTCTCTTTGTCTCTCTCTCATACACACACACACACACACACACACACACACACACACACACACCAAAACTGAAGAAAGTCTTAGTAATAAACGTGTGTAGACTGGCATTTCATACCTGTGTTTTAATTTCTTTAGGTTTTGTTTGTTAAGTACTAGATTTAAAAAAAAATATATTTCATGCTGGGCAGTGGTGGTGTACACCTTTAATTCCAGTACTCAGGAGGCAGAGGCAGGTGGGACAGCTAGGGAGAAACCCTCTCTCAAAAACAAACAAAACAAACCCAAAACCAAACCAAAAAAACCAACAAAACCCCCCATATATCTCAATGAAAATGTAACTTTTTATTTTATAGCATTATATATGTGCATTTTATAAGGAAATAATTGAGCCATGTTTTATAATTTATTTTATTCCATCTATTTATAATTTCTAAGACTTTCCTGCCTTGTCAAAACACACTCTTATTCAACATTAGTTATTCTATTGAAAATTTCAAATTATTTATAGTATAATACATTCTAACTCTTTAAGGAAGTAACTTACTAGAGAGGTATGTTGGCTCATGTCTGTAATCCTAACTCTGGAGAAACTAAGGCAGGAGGATAACCATGAGTTCAAAGTCAGCTTGGGCTATATAGTGAGTTCTAGGAGAATCTGGGCTCCAGAGTTAAGACTCAATCTAGGTGGTGAGAAGTGGAAAGAAGAAGAGGACAAGAGAGAGGAGGGAGAGAGGAAGAGAGGGAAGGAGGGGAGAGGAGGGAAAAGAAGAACCCTATAATGGCCAGTTTGAATTTGGAAAACATTTTCAAATTGGCTAGCAGCATCGAGGGGCAAGTCTTACCTGCAAACCTAGACCAGCCGCTTCCCGGTGCTCTGCTGGAATACCCAGTACAGTCTCAACCGGAGCTCCTGTGCTGGAGGTTCGCTATTCACGCCACCTAAGCCGGCTCAGCCTCCAGCACTGCCCATGAGTGGACGTGACCTCAAATGCTGTCATGCGTCCATTTTAAGTTTGCATTTGGGTTATTTTTGTTTACAAGTATATGTGAAAATATATAAAATGAGTTTTTTTGCATTGCTATATATTGCCTTAGAAATTATACTAAATGGGGGTTCTGTTTTTATTATCACATTTAGTTTGTTTAGTGGGCACGTGTGTGTGCACACATGAACATGTGTGTGCGTGCAGGCCAAAGGACAACTTGGAGGAACCAGATTTCTCCTTCCATCCTGTGGGTCCCAGGTCAGCCTCTGACTGTCAGGCTTGGTGGAAAGCGTCTTTATCTCTAACAGCCATAGGCAGGCTTTAGCCTGAATATTGGTGAGAAAATACCTTCAGATTCACATTCCTGAATTTCATGCTTTCTTTCCAAGGCATAACGTAACGTGTCGGGATCATGCCTTGCTTTAGTGAGAAGCGTGGCAAGTGAATCTCCTCACACCTGAAGATTAGGAAAGGAGAAAGGAGGTTGAGTTAACTTGTGTCCACATCGTTCTAAGACAGTGGTTCTCAACCTGTTGGTCATGATCCCTTTGAGCGGGTGTCAAATGGGGTCACAGGGGTCACCTAAGATCACCGGAAAACACAGGCATTTACATTACAATCCAGGACAGTAGCAAAATGACAGGAAGTGGCAACAGAAGTAATTTTATAGGTGGGGGTTCACCACAACACAAGGGTCCCAGCATTAGGAAGGTTGAGTACCACTGGTCTAAGAAATGGATGCAGTTTGGGTACATCACACCCAACAGCTGCAGGACAGTAGCTGTGCTACTGAGGTTCATCTCACAGCAAGCCAGCCAGCTGGGTGTGGTAGCTCAGGCCTCTAATCCCAACAGTTGGGAAGCTGGAGGATTGCTATGGAGACCATCCGACTCTACATATTGAGTACTGGACTAGCTAGGGTAGAGTGTGGCCCTTTCACAAAACAAACAAACCCAAGTATCACCAAGATCAAGTTAGGACGGGTACGTGTACTCCAACTACAAACGTGCATACAACCCAGGTTTTCATTTTTATTTGGTGTGTGTCTATGTGTGTGAAGATGCCTTTCACGGGCCAGAAGTGGGCAGTAAAGCCCCCTGGGACTGGGGCTGCTCAATGTGGGTGCTGGTTCTTTAGAAGAACACCAGGTGCCCCGAACTACTGAGCCATTCCTCTAGCCCCACAGTCTTGATTTTATTTGTTTCAAGATAGGGTTTCTCTGTGTAACCCTGGCTGTCCTGGAACTTGCTCTGTAGACCAGGCTTGCCTCAAACTCACTGAGATACTCCTGCCTCTTGACTACCAAGTGCTGGGATTAAGGGCTTGCACCACCACCACCAAGCCCTAAAATCTAGTTTTAAGAGTGGATATAGTATATCATAATTTGCTTCATATCTATGAATCATACAAAGTAAATATGAAGCAGTAGAGACAAAAGCAAAGGAGGAAGGAAAAGATTAACTTGGATTCTGAATTTATCCTAGCTCTTATTTAAGTCAGACTCACTATCCCTGCACCAACTTTTCTCTATGGAACATTTAGCTGTCTAAATGCTCAGAAGCGTGTGGTGGTTTGAATGAGAATGGTCCCCACAGGTTTGGATGTTTGAATACTTGGTCCCCAGTAATAGAACCCTTTGGGAAGGATTTGGAGGTATGGTTTTGTTGGAAGAGGTGTCAGAGGCCTAGGTATTGAGGTTTCAAAAGCCCTTGCCATTCCCAGTTAGCTCTCTCTCTCTCTCTCTCTCTCTCTCTCTCTCTCTCTCTCTCTCTCTCTCTCTCCCTCTCTGCCTTGAGCTTGTTTATAAGATGTGAGTGGTTTCAGTATGCCAGCCTGTGTAGTATGAGGGCTGGCTTGTTGGGGTTTCTGTCCCTCCCAGTACCCCAACAGCCGGCAAGCAACAAAGAAAATCACACACAAGACTCCATAAGGTTATAAACTGATTGGCCCTTAGCTCTGGCTACTTATTAGCTCTTATAACATATATTACCCCATTATCCTTATCTATTTTAGCCACATGGGCTCAGTACCTTTCTCAGTGTGACAGCTTACATGTTGCCTCTTCGGTGGTCTGTGCAGGAGTGGCTGAGAGAGAGCTTCTGCTTCCAGAATACTCCCAGTCTCTTTGCTCCACCTCTACTTCCTGTCTGGCTTTCCCGCCTATACTGCCTGCCTGGCCAATCAGCGTTTTATTAAAATATGATTGACAGAATACAGATAATTCTCCCGCACCATTTCCCTCTTTTTTTTTTTTTAAACAAAGGAAAATACTGGGCGGAACAGATACCCCAACAAGCTAGCCATCATGTTACATATGGCGCCCAGACGTGGATAACTGAATCCACAGAAAGCCTGAGAAAGCTTGGAAAAGAATAGAGTAAAGCATGGCTTCTTGGTGGCAGCAATTTCTCAGGTCTACTTTGCTTGCTAGAGGCAAGCAAGCACTCTCTTCTGAGAGAGGCTTCCTGACTCAGCTTTAGCTGCAAAACCTTGCACCTCTTTAAAGAGGTCCTGCCACAAAACACTTAAATGTTGTTGATGACAAGCTGAACGCATTCTTTTCAGTTTTCAGCTGTAGCAGGAGAAAAGCTGTGCTGTTTTTAAAATGTCGGCTTTCTGGGCTGTCCTGCCAGGGCAATCTCTGACTCTTTCAGGCAGGCAGTCCGACTGAGTGTGGTCTGTGAGCAGAATGCTGCAGCTTGCTTGCTAGCAAGGACCTTGAAACGCCATAGAGTAGTGCCAGTGAACACAGTTGTGGCTGGTATCTCAGCTATGAGTCTGGAAAGCTAAGGAATGAGCTGGATCTAGCTGTCAAAGCCACGGCTTCCCATATTGCTTTGTAAATTAAAGGCTCATGTGGTCAGAAAAAGAGAGATAAACAGTAAAGAGAGATTCAAAGAGGAAGAAAACCTCTAAATGGTTTACAGTGTGTATATGCAGGCTAAAAGTTAAAGTTCTTAAAGTTAAAAGGAAAGAAAGAGAGTAGTTGGGTGTGGTGGTACACACCTTTAATCCCAATGCCTGGGAGGCAGAGGCATATTGACCTCTGTGACTTCAAGGGGTAGAGGTAGATTAACCTCTGTGACTTCAAGGTGTGGTAGTACACACCTTTAATCCCAATGCCTGGGAGGCAGAGACAGATCTCTGTGAGTTCAAGGTGTGGTAGCACACACCTTTAATCCCAGTGCTGGGGAGACTGAGACAGTGGGGATCTCTGAGTTCAAGGACAGCCTGGTCTACAGAGTTATTCCAGGACAAAGATATATACAGAGAACCTGTCTCAAAAAGCCAAAAGTTAAAAGTAAATATAAAAGAAATAGAGGTTAAAGTAAAGCCACATAAAGATGGAAAATATACAGAGAATCTTGATACTGTATGCTATTATGCTCTCTTTAAATTGTTTGATTGCTGAGGAAGGAGCAACAACTGCTAAAAGACTTTTGTTTATAAATGCTACTGAACTAACCCAAGATAGGAATTTTGAAAATACCTTGGCTTCAAAATTGAAGTCAAAAGGTATGTTACTTTGGAGAAGAGATTTTGCTTTTGTTTCCACAGAAAACGAGAGACTCTGGATTTATTCAGAGTTAGGAATAATCACCTTTGACCAAGGGAGGCCACCTGAAAAATCTCCGATAGGAACAGATGGCCCAGATGACAGAGGTCTACATCCAGAACTGATCCAAGACTGCTGCCTGAGATGATCGAGACTCACAGGATACTCCAGTCATGACTTGATTATAACTCTAAATTTTCTTTAGGTCCCCTTAAGACTATCAGCGCCCCCAACCAGCAGGAAGTAGCCTGAAATACTACGCCCACATTCCCAACAAATGGATTATGGGTATTTTCCTTTGTTTAAAAAAAAAAAAAAGAGGGAAATGGTGCGGGAGAATTATCTGTATTCTGTCAATCATATTTTAATAAAACGCTGATTGGCCAGGCAGGCAGTATAGGCGGGAAAGCCAGACAGGAAGTAGGGGTGGAGCAAAGAGACTGGGAGTATTCTGGAAGCAGAGCTCCCTCAGCATTCCTGCACAGACCACCGAAGAGGCAACATGTAAGCTGTCACACTGAGAAAGGTACTGAGCCCATGTGGCTAAAATAGATAAGGATAATGGGGTAATATATGTTATAAGAGCTAATAAGTAGCCTGACCAAATGGGCCAATCAGTTTATAACCTTATGGAGTCCTGTGTGTAATTTCTCTTTGGGATTTGCCGGCTGTTGGGGTACCGGGCGGGACGGAAACCCCAACAAGCCGGCCCTCATGTTACAAGCCTGCCTGTCTGACTGCCCACTATGCTCCCTGACATGACAGTCATGGGCCAACCCTTTAAAACCAAAGCTTCTTATAAACTCTTTCTTCTATAAGTTGCCTTGGTCATGGTGTCTCTTCACAGCAATAAAAAAGCAGCTAAGACAAAACACAAATTTACTGTGCTCTTGCATGTCCCAGACTGCACAATAAATCAACAGAAAACCCAGGACTCACTGAGAGTTGGTGGTGCACACCTGTAATCCCAGCTATTTGGGAAGCAGAGGCAGAGGCCTCACAAACTCCAGACTAGCACGGGTAATTTAAGGAGACACTACCCCAGAAGGGGGAGGAAAGACTGTATGAGTCAGAGGGGATAGAGGGCACCAGGCAAACATGGCTCTCTGGCTCAACTAAGCAGGGCTCACATGGGCTTAACTGAAGCAGCAAGCACGGGGTCAGCATGGGTCTGCACTTGGTCCTCTGCATATGCTATGGCTGTTAGCTTGGAGGTTTTTGTTTGCTTGTTTTAAATAAAATGAATTTTTTTAAAGATTTTATTATGTATACAGTATTCTGTCTGCAGGCCAGAAGAGGGCACCAGATCTCATTACAGGTGGTTGTGAGCCACCATGTGGTTGTTGGGAATTGAACTCAGGACCTTTGGAAGAGCAGGCAATGCTTTTAACCACTGAGCCATCTCTCCAACCTAGTAATGGGTTTTTTAATTTAAAAAAAAAAACCAAAAAACCAGAATTAACAATAATGAGGGGCTGCCAAGGACAAGGGATGAAACATAGGTGGTAGAGAGCTTGCCTAGCACGCATAAAGCTTGGGTCCCATCTCTAGCGCTGCTAGGTGGTGCCCACCAGCCCCCTGAGCCCTCTGGAGGTAGAAGCAGATTGAGTCCAAGGCCATTCTCAGTCAGCTACATAGGGAGGTCAAGGCCAGCTTGGACTACAGGAGACTCTGTCCAGGGGTGTAATGAGGAAGGCTGATGAAACTCAATGATAGATCACTTGTCTAGCTTGTGTGAGGCCCTATACCATCTCTACTACAAACAGCAAACCACCAGCCTGGAACCCCGAGGTCCTCACTTATTGGCAGGCTTCGCTGCACTCCCGGCTGCACTACTCTTGTCCAGTTTCGGTAAAGCAGGACAGGCATCTTTTTCCAAAGCCATCACTGGTAGCAATGACAGAATTCTTACCTAGAACCTCACACAGCCTAATTCTGATGAAACTGCTGCCGTTGATGTAACAATTGTCCTGCTAACACCACAGCAACCCTTAGTAGCTAGGAGTATGCAGCTCGGAGCTATTTAAGTCTCTTTATGAGAAATGCTATCACCAATTAAAACATGAGAATAGTTGGAGACATTGTGAATTTGACCAATAGGCAAAGTCTGCTTGCTGACTAGAGCCTCAGGATGTAGGTCAGTTGGTGGCATTAGCTCGGCTTGACTGAACCTTAAGTTCAGTCTTTCACACTGGAGAAACCAAGTGTGGTGGTGCACGCACAGCACTTGGGAGGAAGAGACAGGAAGATCAGCAGATATTCAAGGCCATCATTTGCTACGGAGGCCAGCCTGGTCTACACGAGTTCTAAGGACAGCCAAAACTATATTATTACAATCCTATCTCAAAAAAAAAAAGAAAAAAAAGAAAAAAAAAAAAAGAAAAGAAAAAGAAAAAAAGCTTCTGATATTTACTTGTTTTCAACAAATGTCAAGCAAGTTCCATACAGACTTGTTTCTGTCTTTAAGAGTGCTTGAAAGGGGTTAGTGAGCTGGCTCAGCAGATAAAGATGTCTGAAGTGCAGGCCTTACAACCTAGAGCCCACTTAAAGGGAAAGAGACACCTAACGCCACAAAACTGCCCTTTGACTACAACATGCATGGCCCCCACACCTCCATCTTTTACCCACCTAATAATAAATAGCTTTTTAAAGATTGCCAAACAATAGAACATGGTGGCATAAATCCATAATCTTAGCACTACTTAGGTCGAAGCAGAAAGGCAAGAGGTTAGTCCATACCAAGATTCTGCCCACCCTATAGGAACAATTGGATGTAAGAGCTGTACAATTTATGCATATTTTAGCATATTTTAATGGAATGTGTTAAAACCAAAGCATAGTTTGCCACCAAGATAAATCAGAAAACAAAAGCTTCTTAACAGCATGAAGCAGTGAGCTGGACAGAACGGTCGCAGGTAGAACCGGGCCTTAATAGTCGGTACAGGCAGCACAATGAGAAACTAAACCCGTGCTGCCCACATCACAGGCACTGCCCCCTTTAAACACTGCCCACACACATATTCACTTCACACAAGAAACAACAACAGCTCTCCATTCTCTAGATTCGGTGCATAGCACAGCAACCTCAGCAGAAATGGAAACTATGTTTGTACAAGGGTTTATCTTCAAAACGTCCAAAATGTGCCTAAAATATGTCCAAATCCTGAGGATGGTCCACCTCGATGGCTTCCTCCGCATCCAGTTTGGTTTCGCCAGGTCCTTCCTGGGCTTCATCAAGGGAGGCCAGGGCCTCGTTAGTGTCACTTGCAAAAGTTTCTCGTGATGTGTCATCATCCTCTTGAAAATTCAGACTTTTAATAGCTTGTTTCATCTTTTTCCCCAATAGCTGTGTTCTTCTTTTTCTAGCAGCTTTTTTATTTTCATATTCCTTTTGATTTTCAATGTAGAAAATGTCCTGAAATAAAAACAACTTTGGCTAAAAATAACAAAACAAAAACCACCCCATATTATTTGTTATAAGTATATTATGAGGCAGGCCTTTTATCGTCATCTACTTCTCACAACCAATCTACTGTTAGGTAGGCCGTGCTCACTCTACTGTAACACATCGTCCCATACCTGCTTGCTAAAAGAGAAACTACCATGGGAAATTTTGTTTAGAATTTAAATAAACTGTAACTGATAACACAAAAACCAGAATAAAAGATTAAAGACATACTCACTTTGAAACATCTTAACCACATATGACTACCTGTGCTATGAAATTAAACTGAACTATTTAAGAACATGCCATTTGCAAAATGTAACAATTTCATCTCTTAAGAATACTATTGTAGAAGCTGGAGAGATGGCAATTAAGAGTACTTGCTGCTTGTCCAGAGGACCTGGGTTCAGTTCCCAGTACCAACATGTTGACTTACAACTACCTGTAACTAGTTTCAGGGAGACCCAGCGCTCCCCTCTGGGCTGAGAGCACTGTACACTGTAAACACAAAACAAACACTTAAGAGCACAGTGCTTTCTAACACTGGCACTGCTGAAACTCCAGGCTGGATATGTAGTCTTCACTCACTACTTATAGTATGAAGCTATGGCATCCCAAATTCTGAGAGTCAAAAATGTTTTCTGAGGTGCCAAACTAGTACCAGTAAATATATGCTTGTTATAAGATAGTCTCACTACACTGCCCTGGCTAGCCTGGAACCCACTCTGTAGACCAGGCTGGCCTCAAATTGTGAGCATCTTTCTGCCCCTGCCTCCCAAGTGCTGGAATTACAAGTATGTAATTCTGTAATCCTTGAAATCACATCCTGGTTTCAAGAGGTTAAGATGCATTTTTATTTTATATAGAAGCACATTTTAATTTATTAAGCATCTTGAGCTTTAAAAGACTCTATTAATATCTTGCAAGGCAGTAAATGATTATGAAGTTCCTTTCCCACCAAACACTGCAAGTCTTATTAAAAAGAAACTGCAGGTGGGACATGGTGGTGCACACCTTTAATCCTCAGCACTTAGGAGGCAGAGGCAAGCCAGGATTACAGTGAGACCGGTCTCAAAAGCAAAAACCAAATTATTACCTTCTCATTTACACACACACACACACATACATACATACATACACACACACACACACACACACACACACACACAAAACCAAACCAAAAATAACAACAAAAAAGCCAAAATAAAAAGCTCTACTCAGCAAATCTGGTTCTGGCTTCCAAACTCTATAGACTGTCTGTCACCAATGCGGCAATTAAAAGACTAGTTGCAGCATCATGACAGAATATATGTCTGGCATGGCAAACGCTTTTACCATTCATTCCATCTAGCCAGTCTTACATTTGACATTTAAAAAATTCAGTCCTTCTTTTTTCTTTATTGAATTTAGGTTTTTGGGTATACTAAGCACATGCTACACTACTGAGCTATACCCTAGTTCTCAAACTCACTTTTATTGCACCTGTAGAAAATTTTATTACACTTATTTGTGTGTGTGCGTGCTTGTGCACACGTGGTCAGAAGACAACTAGCAGGGGTCAGTTCTGTAGGCCCACCAGGTGGGACCTAGGGCTAAACTCAGGTTGTACGCCTTAGTGGCCAGCACTTCTACCCACTGAACCCTCTCACTGGCCCTACTGCATGTTCTTAAAACCAATCCTCAAAACGCTAGGCTAGCCAGGTGGTGGTGGCATACATTTTTAAACCCAGAACACAGGAGGCAGGGGCAGGTGGATGTCTGTGAATTTGAGGCCAGCCTAGTCTACAAAGTAAGTTCCAGGACAGCTAACAAACAAACAAACAAACAAATAAAAAAAAAATAAAGAAGGAAGAAAGGAGGGAGGAGGAGGAGAGAGGTAAAGAAGGAAGAAGGACTGAGTGGAAGTCCAAAAAGAATGCATCTTTTGCCGGGCGGTGGTGGCGCACGCCTTTAATCCCAGCACTCGGGAGGCAGAGGCAGGCGAATCCCTGTGAGTTCGAGGCCAGCCTGGTCTACAAGAGCTAGTTCCAGGACAGGCACCAAAAACTACAGAGAAACCCTGTCTCGAAAAATAAAAAAAAAAAAAAAAAAAGAATGCATCTTTTTTCTCCTCTTTCTGAGACAGGATTTCATATAGCTCTGTCTGGCCTCAAACTCCAGAGATCCACCTGCCCCCACCTGTACCTGTGTGCTGGGATTAAAGGCGAGAACCACCCTGCCCTGCTCCCCTCTATCATTTAAAATGGGATCTTTCCTGGGATGAGCATGGGCCCCCCTCCTACACTTCTGTCTCTGCTTCTGCATGCTGGGATTATAAGTGTGTATTTTTACAAGTCTGGTTTTTTGATGCATCATAAAGCCAAGGACACAGTCATTGTCATTACCTTAATTTGTTCTTCACTGATGCTCGGAGTGTTCTTCAGGAGATTCAGAAAAACCCCACCGGGTGTTCTTCTTCGACTACCATTCTACGGAAAGGAATTTTAAAAAGTAAACTACATAGACATTTCCATAGGCAATTTTTTGAGAATATTTTCAATTTATTTTGCAACAATTTCATATGCAAAGACTGATTACTTATTTAACAGTGTTGAGACAGAAATCAGGGCCTTTGCCATGCTAAGAAAGTACTCACTCAGTCACTGAGCTACAAGGCCAGTTCCCAGGCCACGGGCTTCATGAATGACCAGGATGTATTTGAATAGACGTATGCTTATGGGGACAGTCAGGACCAAATTTGAAACCCAGATTTGATTCTGGCTCTTTTTAAGAGTTTTAGATTTAAATATATGCACTAAGATATATGTATCTACTGTTACTTCCCACTACTCATGATGACATATTCTATAAAGTTGCCACAAACACTGAATTAGCAAACATTAAAACATAGCTCTACATGTAATATAACATTAATTTGTTCAAACTTGAATAGTGTGTAAGGACACTTCATTTAAAATAATGTTGGTTTAGTGGTGTAGCTCAGTGGAAGAGGGCATATTTTGCACAAGATTGGGTTTAATCACTCACCAAAGTGACAAGAAATCAAAAACCAATCAAACAAAATGGGCGTACACACACAGATTCATTAATACTGGACCAATGGTCAAAAGCATTATAAATCATTATTAGTTCTTACTATTCTGCCCTTTAAGCCAGTTCAGACCTCTACCCTGACCACATTTACACTCCGCCCTCCTCCCTTACACCTCCATGCGATCTATTTCTTTTCCCTTAGCGCTAATACACTTGAAATTATATTGCTTTTTTTAAAAAGTTAAACTTGTTTTTTTTTTTTGAAGAAAGGTGTGCATCTATGAGAAGCTCAGTGAACAATTTGGAGAAGTTTGGTAACTGTTCCACGCCATGACTCCACCATGAGTGGGACTAGGGACGAACTCAGAACATCAAGCTTGGCAGAAAACGTCTTTACCTACTAAGCCATTTCAAAGGCCCTTTTTGTTTTGTTTTGTTTTGTTTTATTTTTTTGAAGCAAGGTTTCTCTATAGTTTTGGTGCCTGCCCTGGAACTCTCTTTGTAGACCAGGCTGGCCTCGAACTCACAGAGATCTGCCTGTCTCTGTCTCCTGAGAGTGCTGGGATTACAGGCACGCACCACTACTACCTAGCCTCCCCCACTTTTTATGAGGCAGGTTCTCATTATGTAGGCTAGTGAGTCAGAAACTTACTAGGTAGCTCAGCTCAGTGATCCTCCTGTCTCTGCCTTCAAGTGCTGGGATTTGTGCCACCATGCTTGGCTTTATAATTACTGAGTTTTTCTTGTCTTCAGACTCAACAACTCTCAGTACAAAGCAGGCACTCATTATTCAAAAAGAATACATCAAAAGTGCACTTGAACTCACATCTCAATATTCAGTAGACCAGTATTAACTGACTGGAACACAGATTTCTTTTCAAAAAAATTACAATATTACTAATAAACCTTGAACTTCATGTTCAAGTAAATGAAAATCTAAATTTCTATAATTTAAGATTATAGGCTATTTTTTCAGCAATGTTCTCAATTCTTTTTCAAATTTGTTAATTTTAAATATTATGTGTGATAATGTGAGTGGCTAGAGGCCTTCGATCCCTGTGGGGCTGGAGTTAAAGGAGGCTGTGAGCCATCCAACAGGAGCGCTGGGAGCTAAACCTGGGCCTCTCAAGAACACTGCGAGCTCTTAACTTGTCAATTCTGTAGGTTTCTTTTCTATTTCCACAGCATGTTACTACCTGTGCTGTGCCTACTGGGTAACACACTACAAACCAAGAGCAGAAGAAAGACATCCACACTTTCATCCTTATTTCACAGTGAAAGCTGAATTAATGAAATCTGTAAAACCATGTTCGCAGAGATACTGCCCTTAGTCTTGCTAGTATGGAAACAGTGAGCAGTTTTTCTCAACTGCTTTTCCTGTTATTGCTCTCCCACATAAGGATTTTTTTTTCCAGATAGTTTTCCTTCTTACCCTGACCACACTTAAACTTTTTTTTTAAAGGGTTATTTATTATGTATACAGTGTTCTGTCTGCCTTCGGACCAGAAGAAGGCACCAGATGTCATTATAGATGGTTGTGAGTCACCATGTGGTTGCTGGGAATAGAACTTGGGACCTCTGGAAGAACAAGTAGCCAGTGCTCTTAACCTCTGAGCCATCTCTCCAGTATACCCTTGAACTCTTAATACATGCAGTTTTACTGTGTATCTATTTGTGATTTGGCTCATTTTTGAGGCAGGGTCTTGTCTAGGCTGTCCTGGAACCCTAAGCAATCTTAAGCCTTGGCTTCCTAAATGCTGAGGTTACTGACAAATCCCATAATACTCAGTTCTATTTGGCTTATTATTATTATAACTTAAGTGTTTTCAAGACAAGGTCTTACTCTGTAAACTAGGCTGGCCTTGCAACCATAATGCCAGGCACTAAACTAAGTTGTGTGCCATCTCATCTAATACTTATAGCAAAGGATTCTTCCTCATTTTCTACCTGAGGAGACTGAGCACAAGAAATTGAATAATTTGGCTAAACCACAGTAAGTTGTGCTAAAAAACCAAAGCCTTCCAACCTGAGCTTTCGGTTCCTTCTACACAGCTGTCTTAAAATTATTCCTGTAAGAGGCTATAATGGCACAGCCTACAGGGTCAGCACTGATGAGGCTGAGGTAGTACCTAGTCTGAGGATAGCTGGAGCTACACAGTGAAACTGAGTCATCAAAGTGGGGGTGGGAGGGCAACAGAGAAGCAAGTTCACTTCGCTTAAATAAATAAATAAAATCCAGATAATAATATAAACCCAGAAACAGGTGCCAGGCAGTGGTGGCACATGCCTTTAGTCCCAGCCCTCAGGAGGCAGAGACAGGCAGATCTCTTTGAGTTTGAGGCCAACCCTAGTCTCCAGAGAAAGCTCCCAGCTAGTCAGTCAGAGAAACTGTCTCAAAAAACCAAAACCAACCAAACAAACAAACAACCAACAAAAACTCCCCCAACCAAGCCCAGAAGCAGTATTAGCATTACCATTATGAAAAGACCACCGTTCTGTTCAACTTCAGCAGTTTCCATCAAGAGTTCAATGGCTTTTTTGGTCCCAAGTATCCTCACTACTCGGGCTATCAGGTCTTTCTTCGGTTCCTGTAATCTGTTAAGAACACAAAGCAATTACTACTTGTTGAAATCTACTTTAATCCCCAGTGAGTTCTCAACTGGAATTCAAATCTTACTGCTAACACCCGCTTTTCTAATCTCCGTCCACGAACTGTGGAGTCACTGACATGGAACAAGCCCCATATCTGTTCTTTAACTAAGGCTCTTTATTTGCCTTCTGGATTATGGCAGTTCTCAAAATAGATGAGCACGCAGAGTGAGGTGAATGAATTCAGCTCTAAATGTAAAGATGATAAACTTGTGCACTTCTGCCAAAACAAGTAACAAACATAGTATGCTTCAGTTATTATGCTTCAGAATTAACCTGCCAATGGTTTCTTGTAGCCATTCTTTCAACTGGTAATTCTTTCAAATGTTAGACACATTATTTTCATCCTACTCTGCAGAGATGAATAATACAGGGAGTGCCAGGCACGGTGGCATACGCTTTAATCCCAGCATCCAGGAGGCAGAGATGGGACTTCTGTGAGTTTGAGGCCAGTCCGGTCTACAGAGAGAGTTCCAGGACAGACTCCAAAGCTACGCAGAGACTTGTCTAGGGGGAAAAAATAAAAAAATAAAAAAGACAGACCCTTGTTGGGGAATATTATTTTCAGGTGTGTGACTTTTGTTTATACTGCATTTGATTAACTGTGAAGCGGCGATTTGTTGCCTCTCTAAAACACCTGATGGGGCTAATAAAGAGCTGAACAGCCAATAGTGAGGCAGAAGCAAGGAAAGGCGGGGCTAGCAGGTAGAGAGTAAAAGAGGAGAGAGGGGAGAAAAAGGCAAGCAAGAGAACAAGGAGAGGAGGACACCAGGGGTCAGCCACCCAGCCAGCCACTGAATAACAAGAACGAACTAGAGAAAGATAAAAGTCCAGAGAGAAAAGGTAGATGGGATAATTTAAACTACGAAAAGCTGGCAAGAAACAAGTCAAGCTAAGGCTGGGCATTTATAATAAGAATAAGAATAAGCCTCCATGTCTGATTTTTTGGGAGCTGGGTGGCAGGCTCCTTAAAAAAGCCAGAAGAGTAAAACATACAACAGACTCCATTTCAAAAAAGCAATAAATTAAACAAATACAGGGAGCTGGAGGAAGTCTTCTAACCAGGTCAAACAGAGCCCTTGGTCCCCATAGACAGACTTTTCAGTTTTCAGTCAGACCCAAAGCAAACCTTGGTTTCTCCTCACAGAGGCTATGCAGTACTGTGGAAAGGCATCAGACTAGGAGGAACCGTGACCAAGGTTCAGCTTCAGGTCTGACCCTCACAAAGTCAACAACCTTGTGCAAGCCAGGTAATTCCTAGGCCTATTTTTCCTCATTGCTGAAGGAGACTTTGGTTTATAAATTCTACATTTCTTCAGAATACAAATTTCAAACTTCTATTTAAAATTTTTTGTAGGTGTAAGTGTATTACCTGCATGTATGTCTCATGTTTGATGCTCAGGAGGCCAGAAGAGGATGCTAGGTCCCCTGCAACTGGACTTGAAACCCAGCCTGATTTAGACTGTTTTAAAGATTCTATTTTTATTTTTTGTGTCTGAGTGTTTTGCCTGTATGTATGTGCATGTACCATGTGCACGGAATGCCCACAAAGGTCAAAAGAGGGTCTTCAATTGTCTGGGACTGGAGTTACAGGAGGCTGTGAGCTGCCATGTGAATGCTGGGAATTGAACCTGGATCCTCGGGAAGAACAGCCAGTGCTACTAACTAATGAGCCACCTCTTCAGGCTGCAACCATCTTGACAATTAAAAAGAAAAACAAACAAAAGCCCCAAACAAAACTAATCAGTACAGATATTGCCTGAAACATTTGTTTCCTGACAGCAATACTTATTTTCAAATATATGACTAGTGACTTAGAGCTAGTAAGTTAATTAGAATCTGAATCTGTGAAAAAATGCATGAATTGACAATTTAGTATCTGCCAAACAATTCTATTTACCCAAAAGAAATAAACATATATGGTTAAGGATTTACAAGCAAAGGTGTTCATTAACAGCATTATTCATAATAAATAAAAGCAGACTACCCATTCAGTCTGGAGATACACAAATCTATACACGCGCAATAAAAACGCAGGGTCAGGGTATGGTCGTGAATGCCTACAATCCCAGTCTTTGGAAGGAGAATCAGATTTCAAGACCCACCTTGCTATATAGTAAGTTTGAGGTTGGCCTGGGCTATGGGAGACCTTTCCCAAAACAAAACCCCAAAATACACAAAAAGCAACACTCCTCATTTATAAATTAATAAATAGCTAGGCATAGTGAATGGTGCTCGTCTTTCATCCCAGCACTTGGGAGACAGAGGCAGGTGGATCTTTGAATTCAAGGCCAGCCTGGTCTACAGAACTACACAGAGGCGGAGAAATCCTGCTTAAAAAAAAAAAAAACAAAACAAGCAAACAAACAAGAAAACCTACAAAGACGAATACTGCTATGGCTGCATCTGTATGGCAGATTTACAAGGACAGAAAGTATGCTTGTCTGGGAAAGAGAAAAGGATATTAACAGTAAATGGATATATGGACACAGACACAAAGAATTTTACTGGGTGATGAGAGAAAGGTTTAAATGCAATGGTTTTAAAAGTATAATAATAGGGCTGGAGAGATGGCTCAGCGGCTAAGAGCACTGATTGCTCTTCCAAAGGTCCTGAGTTCAATTCCCAGCAATCACATGGTGGCTCACAACCATCTGTAATGAGGTCTGGCGCCCTCTTCTGGCCTTCAGGCATACACAGAGACAAGACATTGTATACATAATAAATATTTAAAAGTATAATAATAAAAGCAATGGTTGTAAAATCAGATTTGTCTCCATAAAAAAAAATCAACACCCAAAAAGAGTGATTATCATATTAACATACCAGTTACTTTACTTTTCATCTTAGAAGTAACAGCAAAAAATTACATCCATTTATTTGTGTGTGGACAAGTGTGGAGGTCAGGAGACTTGCAGGACTCAGTTCTCTACTCCTACTGCATGGGATCAGGGATTAAACCGACACCAGGCTTGGGGAGCAGGTGAGCCATCTTGCCAGCCCCCACCCCCTCCAATTTTTCCCCCCTTTTGAGACAGTATCTCATCTAGCCCAGGCTGGCATCATGTAGCTGGGAACTCATGATCTTAAACTTTGGATCTCCCATCTCCTTAGTGCTGGGATTACAGGCATGTAACACTATGCCCAGTTTATGGGGTACTAAGGATTGAACTCGGGGTACATGCTAGTCAAGCACTGTACCAAGTTTCCAGTTCAAAGTTATCTTTAAAAAGACACAAATGTAGGGATTGGAGAGATGGCTCGGCAGTCAAGAGCACCAACTGCTCTTCCACAGGACCCGGATTCAATTCCCAGTAACCACATGGTAGCTCACAAATGTAATTCCAGTTCCAGGGGATCTGACACCTTCAAACCAATGTACATTTAAAAAAAAAGACACAAATGCATTCATAGTCAAAAGTGCCCTGGGTTGATTCCTTTAAGAAAAACCAAACCAAACCAAACCCTCAGCCAGGTGTGACACACATCTTTAACTCCAGCTCTGAGAGGCAGGTGGATCTCTGTGAGTTTGAGGCCAGCCAGGTCTACATAGCAAGTTGGACAGCAGGGACTATAGAGACCCTAAAATCAAGCAAATAAAAACAACCTCACAAAGGAATGTATTTAACATCTATTTTCCTCCTGTAAACAGCAGATATGTAGTCAAGTGCTTACCTGAAAGCAATCTCATCAGCCACCTTCTCCTGAGAGTCATCTTCTGTGATCTCATAGCGGCCTTTGTAGTTCATTTCTAGTCTGTTTCCCAGTCTGTCTTTGACAGGCCGTTTCCGTTTGAGGTGGCCTTGCCCATTCTCTTCCTCCTTTGACCCTGGTTTTTTGTCTCCATGCATATATTCATCTAGGTCTTTGTCCAATTCCTTTGTATACTCTTGAGATTCCCGTCTAAGTTTCTTAGCAAGCAAATAATTATAGGTCTCAGATTGCCTGCTTTTGTCAAGGGTGCCTTCCATTCCCAAGATGCCAAGTTCAATAGCCACTGCATCTTGGTTTTGTTCCTGAAGCACGGCACCCCAAATGTTGTTCACCTTCTTTCCGCCATTGACTGCTTTCTGACTGCTCTGGCCAAACGGAAAAGGCTCTGGTTTGGGAGGAGGATTATGACACTTCTGTCGCTTACGTTTCCAAGGAGAGCACTCGTCATCTGAATCCACGCTCTCCTCACTCGAGTCCACATTTTTAACAGTCCGGTAGTGTGTCACTGGTGCGCAGGCAACACTGCCCCCACCTAGTACTTTCTGCAAGTGAAAGAAATTACAGTCAGTTCCACAAAGCATTCATCCCACCCACCATGGGCTAGTTTCCACAATGATGTAAGTATTGCGTATGCCTGCCATCCCAGCATTCCAGAGGCTAAGGCAGGAGGATCACAAGTTTAAGGACTGTCTGAGCTGCACAGCAAGACCTCAATAAGGAGAAAGGAGGAGGAAGAAAGAGTGTAGTAGAGATTCAACTGGAGCATCCAAAACAATCACACTCCAAAGACAGCTGAAACAAATCTAATCCCTCCTAAAAAATGTACCACAGCCTTTAGCCTTTACTTTTCACCTTTAAAGGCCACGTTTGTGAGAATGACATACACAATAATTGTTACTGTCAGTTAAGACAAAGTTATCTTTCTCTCCAAAAATATATTTTCTCGTTGGATATACCAACTTCTCTTATATGGTTCTGCAGCATTAAGATTTGATGGTGACCCACAACTTCCTTGGCGACCCACAACTTCAATTCCGGCTTTCTTTGGAGGCAGAGGCAGGCAAATCTCTGTAAATTCAAGGCCAGCCAGGTCTACATAGTGAAACCCTATTGCAAAAAAACAAAAACATTTGAAGGTAAGCTCTTCTGGGGAAGAATCCCAGTCATATACTTTTAACTGCAGGTTTCATCAGGTGTAGTAGTGCACACCTTTTAATCAGAGATCAGGAGGCTGAGGCAGAAAGATCCTGGTTTTGAGGACACTCTGGGCTACAAAAAGACACCCTGACTCAAAACAAACAACAACAAAACCCCTCAAAATTCAGATTTCACAGCATTATGCTAACCAACTTTTTAATGTAAAAAAAAATTTAAAGGAACTGAAAAATAAGATCCTAGTATTAATTTCCTAAGACATCTACATGTAAAGATAACTACTTAAAAAATCTGACTGCCACATAATAACCACAAAAATTAATGTGGTATAATATGATGCTTCAATTTGTGTATGTATTTTGTAATGTTCAAATCAGGGTTGTTAGCCTACTTATCACTTTAGACGTTTATCATTTCTTTATGGTGAAAAAAAGACTTTATGGCGAATAAAATCCTCTTATTTTGGGGAGGATACACTTGTGCATTACACTTTTTAAGTAGAGGGAGCTTGAACTCAGGGCCTCCAGCATGCTACCAACTGAGCTACACCCCCACCCCCTGGCTATTCTGAAATATTCGCTTTTGTTAACCAGTCCGTCACTCTAGCACGCAATAGGGTCCTGGGTTTATTTCTTCTAACTGTACCTTTGCCCTTTGCTTTTTATACTAAACACAAAACCAAGCGTTTATTGAGTTCCTCTTAGGTATTTAAACTGGGTTCGATGTCTTAAGCCAGTGACACTAGTCGGCCAGTAACATCCGCTGCCAACATTGGCCAGGCCTTACAGTGTCCATCACGCCAGTTCCACCTGAACACTAAAACGGAGCAGTTAAATATTTTGCAGCTAGTGGCGGTGCCGAGGATTGAGTGCGGGCGGCCTGGCAGGTAGCCCACTGCGGGAGTACTAGGAGTCTCAGAAGATTAGGAAGCTTCCTAGAGTGGCAGGACAGTGGATCTCCCAGCACTTCTGGAGCCTAAGAGGCAGGACGACAAGGGCGACACAGCGAGATGCCGGCTGCATCCCCGGACAGCAGAAACAAAGCCTCGTGCCTCCACGCTGCACGTGGAAGCTGACCAAACTCGGGGGGAACACTGAAGACGGGGCCCCGGGAACGCGAGGAGCTCGCTATCCGCCAGGGACAAAACCATGAGCATCAAACGCAGTTACGGCTGTCCGTCCCCACGT